GCACAGCAGCTATTTTGGGACCATGAGGCAATGCATGGGATGGTGTGTACCCATACCTTAATGATGGTAGAGTTGAAAGGTGGAAACTGCCGGGTCCCTGGTGGCATCACTGAGCCACCTTACCTCCCTTCTTGTTGTATGGGGCAAAGGGGCCACTTCTAGTCATGTTTTCCATTACTTGCAGCCAAATGCACCCCTAACAGATACCCCAAATCATATAACAAATTAAGGGAAGATGCAGGTCTTGAGCCCAGGAATCAGTGATGCTGGAGGATGGTGGTGATGACTGTTGCCCCCACCACCTCCTCCTTCACCATCTACTTGGTTCAGGGAGACAGAGGGGGAGAGGCAGAGAGACGGAGAAGCGGGGGCAGAAAGGGAGTGAGAACAAGCAAATTGAGGGCTGAGACTAGAATACAGTGAGGTTTGGACCCAGGCAGCCACTCCCATAGCCACATGGCCACAGGCTGACCCCAATACTTTTCAGTCAGTCCAGAAATCTTTATTAAAGACCCAGTGGGTGCCAGTCCCAGGCTAAGCAGGCATTGAGATATAGCAGAGACCAAAACACATGAGGTCCTTCCTCAGGAGACTGGCATGACCCACCCTTGGCCAACATGACTGGCCCAGGGAAACACATTGCCCAAATCGGGGAGACCACATGCTCTCTTGCCAGAATTTGAAAGCAGAAGGGAGAGAGAGGAGGTATAGAAGGTAGAGTAATGATCCCCCCAAAAGATGTCCATGTCCCGATTCCTGGACCTGTGACTACCTGACACGTCAAAAGTGACTTACAGGTGTGATTAAATTAAGGATCCTGAGACAGGGAGATCATCCTGGATGGTCCGGGTGGGCCCCAAGTCAACACAAGGGTCTTGCTAAGTGAAAGTGGGGAAGGCAGGAGGGTCAGAGAAGATGTGATGAAAGCAGAAATCAGAGTCAGAGACTGGAAGGTTCCAGAGGAGGGCCCAGGAGGAAGGAAGGTGTGCTGCTTCTGGAAGCTGGAAAAGGCTAGGAAATGGTTTCTCTTCAAGAGTCTCCATCAGTAGGGCAACCCTGCCAACCCTGACCTCAGCCTGGTGAAGCCCAATCCGAAGCAGACTTCTGACCTCCAGAGCTATAAGGTAAAACATTATGTGGTCTTAAGCCACTAAGTTTGTTACAGCAGCCATAACAGACTAATATGGGTCCACTCTGTGCGTGTGGCGGCAAGTGAAACAGGCAAGTGTGGGAGCCACATGCTGGATGACTGAGACTTTGTGTCCAAACTTCACCTTTTGTAAGGACACTAGGCATAATGGACGAGGGCTTCACCCTATTCCAGAAGGACCTCATTATAACTCATTACATCGGCAATGACCCTCCTTCCAAATAAGGTCACATTCTGAAGGGTCTGGGTGAGGGATACATCACCCTTCATAAGAATACTTCATAAGGGGGCGCCTGGGTGGCTCAGTCAGTTGAGCGTCCGACTTCGGCTCAGGTCATGATCTCACAGTCTGTGGGTTCGAGCCCCGCGTCAGGCTCTGTGCTGACAGCTCGGAGCCTGGTGCCTGCTTCGGATTCTGGGGTTTTGTTTGTTTGTTTGTTTGTTTTTACCTCAGCTCGAGATGTAGCACACCCTAATGCTCAATAGTAGGAGAATCGTTCTTTTGAAAGTGGTTCTGGCGCTTTCTTCCCATCATAAACGCAATGCAAAAGCTGGTTTTCCTGATTGGTGGTGACACCAGCCACTCAGGGGGAGTGGAGTCAAGCTTAATTCCAAGACACCTCGCTGACGGGGAGGAAGACAAAGGAAGGAGGGTAGAGCGGTGCCCAGGTGGCTCGGTGATCTCGGATTCAGATTCGGGAGTTCAAGCCCCAGATCAGGCTCTGTGCTGTCAGCGCAGAGCCTGCTTCGGATCCTCTGTCCCCCTCCCTCTCTGCCCCTCCCCTGCTCTCTCTCTCTCTCTGAAAAATAAATAAAACATCTTAAAATTTTTATTTAAAAAAAAAGGGATGAGTGTGTGCCTGGCCCATGAGCCAACAATGGCCATCACCCTCTTTCTGGGAATCCCCACCCTCCATCCACATGGCAATGGAGTGGCCTCACCAACCCTGTTTAAGTGATATCACTCCACCCTGCTCACTGTTAATTTCAGCAAGAGTGGGAAACTGCCCCCCAAGGTCAGGTCAGACTCTGCTTCTCTCCCCATCCTCTGCTATCGCCAGTAATGCGTGTCTGGGGGGAGAGAACGTACATGTGGCATCCTCCCGCCATCTCCAGATTGCTTGCACCTGACCATTGGGTGTGAGGAGAAACTTCTGTCTTGTTTACATCTCTTGTCTCCACTTCTGCAACATCGTCTGTTTCCTGCCCTCACATGGTCTATGTTGTCAAATAAGTAAAGTGTCAGCTTTTGGAATGTGATGCAATAATACTGAAGTTAGTCTGAAATTATAACTTGGAGAGTAGTCAGGAGCTTTATGAAACAGAGGCGCAGTGAGTTCCGGGGCAGAAAGCCATCTACAAGGGCGGAAGGAGAAGGATAGAGAATCCACAAACAGGTCGAGTCCGTAGAGGTGTAAATAAATCAGAGATGGCATTTCAGAGGATGGGGGGAAAGAATGCATTATTCCACCATGGCTGTTGGGGATCGTGGCTAGCGACTTGGGAGAAATAGAAAAAAGGAAATGACAGCCCTACCTCCTGTCAGAGAAATATATAAAAAATGATGAATCACTGATTTCTTTGAGTCTCTTCCTAGAAACATGCACAGGCCACAAACGTCCACAATTTTGCCACGAGTTTGCGGACCTCCCAGAAAGAATTCCAGCTCCAAATTCTAAGTGGGTGGGGCCTTCAGGGACAAGCCCATCAGGGGGCGGAGTCTCCGGGGGTTGGCATTTCAACGGGGCGGAGCCTCAAGCGCCGTAGTGCTCCAAGGGGGCGGAGCCTCTAGGAGCCAAGCGTTCTAAGGAGGCGGAGCCTTCGGGGCCTTGCGTTAGATGTGGGTAAGACCCGGAGGTGGAAAGGAAGGGTGTATTTCCAAGTGGGTGGGGCCTCCCGAGGAGAAACTGCATCTGAAATTTAAAACCATATTCCCAAGTAAAACTTGGCGCGAGGCTTGGTATTTCCACCTGCGCTTTGCTCACCCAAGGGCTCATTCCTTTGTCAGATTGTCGCTCCCGTGGTCTCTCACCATCCCACCCCACCGTCGCCAGAATCCCAGACTCTCAGAAGCATGGACGTGAGCACAGAGCAATCGCATCCGCAGATGGGGCAAAGGTTCTGTATAGCACGGGCTTGGAGGTCACGGTCCTGCTTTCCTAGTTCTGTCTCTGGTACGTCCTAGCTTCCCGCCCTCTGAGCTGAAGTCTTTGCTCTACAAATAGAAATTAAGTAGCGCTTGCTTTGCAGGGTTGTTTCGGGGGATGAGCCGAGACAAGGCTCTCAAGGCTCTTAGCGGGGGCCTAGGAGGCGTCGGAATCATCATAAATAGAGTCCCCAGCAAATGTTTCTTGAACGAGTGGAAGAGTCCTTCACCTGAATTTTATGCCGTTGTCCAAGCCTGGAAACAGAATTGTGGAATTAAATATTCTGAGGCTAGTGAAATGTTACTGGGCCAGGAGGTGAAGAGCTCTTAGCAAGGGGTTGACTTACAAAAGGGGAAACTGAGTCTAGGGATAAGGGGCACTTCAGTGTTGAGAGACTCCAGGAGGCAATGAGTTTCACAGAAAACGCCTGCAAAGCAGAATTATTTGGGGGAGGGAGGAGTAAAGGACGGCAAGAGGGAGACCAGCCTCCACCTCCGCTTAGCCCTGGAGTCAGCTTTTTTTTTTTTTTTTTTTTTTT